CAAGGATGACCTTATTTTACCAACCTCAAACAGAAGCCGTTTATTCTACAGTATTATCCCACTTAATGCTTAACATTTCTCTATTACGTTTTAACTTCGAGGCTACGATTAGCATCGTTAGCACAGATTTAGCTACCACTTGCTTACATGCTAACCCAGGCCTTAACATTCATTAACGTTAGCTGACTCAAAACATAAGCAACACATAAATAAAGTACTCAAATTTCCCTTGCCGCAAAACCGCATTCATGCACCGTCTGTTTTAACCGCAGAGCGAGTCACAATACAAGGCACCAACACAACAAACACGGCCGAGTTCAAGTTATGTTCCCCGGATGAGCTGAGCAGGCAGAGCCCCTGTAGCATCATGGAGCTGCTAGCAAACGACAGCAGTCACTGGAATGACCTGTCACTCAATGTGACCATGCCCTAATTTATGGAAGAAGTACTCAGATGTTTGCTTAAAGGTGACCTATCATGCAAAATGCACTTTCGTACGTCTTTTATACATGAATATGTGTCCCTGGTGTTCCAGGGAACTCACCAAGTGTCAGAAAACACAACCCTCTCTCTTTCCCTCCATACCCAAATCTCTTAAAAAGGGGCTGCAACGGATCTGATACAGACTGATCCAGATTTGAACACTTCTATGACATCACAGAATAGGCGCTACGGCTATTGGGCCAACTCCACCAATCAGGAGGAGACAGCCACGGACATTGCCGTTTCGAAAGTGCTGGAGACGCTGTAGTACATATGCCAGGCCTGTAGATGGTGCTGTTCTCACAGAATCAGCCCATGAAAAGACAGTGTTAAATGAAGCGAAATGAGGAATGGCTAAAATGCATGATCTGTTTGGTATTTTGAAAAATAAAAAGTATAAATATGCCTTATATAGGTATGGTCCTACACTATATTATTCAAATATAGCATGATAGGTCCACTTTAAAAGAATAAAGATATTTTTGTTATCTAAACGTTTGACCTCTTTCTTTTAAAATGTTTGAATCGAAACGGGGAATCGATAAGCAGAACCGGAATCGATAAGCAGAACCGGAATCGATACATTTCAGACGATACCCATCCCTAGTTAATAGTCAGCAAGCAACCAGCAGTTACAAAACACTGTGTGTGTGTGTGTGTGTGTGTGTGTGTGTGTGTGTGTGTGTGTGTGTGTGTGTGTGTGTGTGTGTGTGTGTGTGTGTCTCACCGGTACTGGCAGCGGTGGGAGTTGCAGAGTCGTATTTGGGGGAGGGGTCTGTTCTCAGGCTGACAGTAGCTATCATTGACCCTCTCCATGGTTTTATTGAATATCCTCATACAGGAAATCACCGTCCTCCTCTCACCTGCACACACACACAGAAACACACATTCTCATGTTAAAGAAAGCAGTATTCAGTGAAGCATCATAACACAGAGCACTTCATCATCATCATCAACATTTAAACCACTCACAGTCCAAGCTAAGACAAATATTTTTTATTGAAAGAGCAACTTGAATGTTTTACAAAGATTATACTTGAGAAGTTAATATGGTAGCGGTAGTTAGAACACTCATGAGGGGATTTCATATTGAACAAACTGGATGGATTATGAATCGTCACATGGAAAATGATGATGATGATGATGATGATGATGATGATGATGATGATGATGATGATGATGATGAAGAAAATGGCTGTCATGGCTTGAGGACATTCCTATTTGAATGCAAAATAATAAATGAGAAACTGGACTGGATAATTCCCCGTCAGTATGGCTCTCAGTAAGGAGAAGCAGACACAGGAAGTGCACACAAAGCCAAAGAGTAACTAGCTATATATGTTGGAAAAAAGGATTGGTATATACTGTAAGTATTTTAATATTTTTTATAACTTTTATTTCATTTAATTCTGACATAATACAGATATTTGTATATATATTCTATGTTTGTGCAACATGAAGTGACAATTTACGTTACCTTGTTTTGTAAGAAGAGGAATAATTAAACTTTATGGTGCAAACATGTCAGTGCCTTGTAGGACTGCAGGGAACTGTAGCTCACAGAAGCTGGTCAGGGTCTCACTGTGCTGTGTGTTCTGGAAACATCCACAGGGGATCTACTCTAATCCAGCATTAAGAGGGCAGAATACTAATCCAGGAGCACCTGACCTGCTCTCCTGCAGAGAACTGCAACTTCAAAGTGCTCTTCTCACGTCATTACATCTGAATATTGTCATCACTGGGTGCCAATATAATGAAGCAGTAAGAGGATAAGAGGAGCTGCTCACAAGACCCGCAGTGGGACGCCTCACAATTAGGCTGTTCTAACTGTGTGTGTGTGTGTGTGTGTGTGTGTGTGTGTGTGTCACCTCCTCCACACTGCACCGTGCAGTCCTGCCAGCTGCTGTGTGTCCAGATGTACAGGTACTCTGGCTCCCTGTGCTCCTCGCTGATCCTGTCCTGCGTTGTGTTCAGGGCCAAGGTGTATTCATAGTGGATCCCATAGCTCTGGTCATGGAAGAGCAGCACCTGGGGGGGGACAGAGAGGGGTTTAAAGGTCTCCTATTATACGATTTATAGGCATATATTATAGGTCTCAGATATATACAAATATATAAAAAACATGTCTATGATGTGTTTTGCTCAAAATACCAAACCGATCACCCATTGTAGCCATGCCTCATACCCCTCTGTTTCAGCCCTGTTAGAGAAACGCTGATTCTGAGTCTGTTGCTTAAAAATAAATAAATGGAAAAATAGAAAAAAGGAGGGGGAGCTCATGCAGGACAATTCTACCGGCAGATACTCAGCTAAATGCTGCTGTGATTTCTGAAACAGTATGGAGCTCAAATGCTTTTTCTCTTGTGGGTTTACCACAAGGTGAGTACCTTTTTATTTCCTGCTTTTTTACACATACTTTCTACAGGTTTAACTCTGAGTGTTAGCTATGCTTGCTAATGTAAACACAGACCATATTACTTCCAAAACACATCGGGCATTGTTAAAGTGACATTTCTGATAGGGCCTTGGGTGTAAAGCCAGCCCACATTGCCAATATTACGTCATTTCGGACGCAAATCTGGATCAGCTCCGTTGTTCCCCCGTTTTTAGAGATTTGGGTACTGAGGAAAAGAGAGAGGGTTTTATTTTCACTTTGTGAGTTCCCTGACACACCGGGGACACATAGTTATGTATAAAAGACATACAAAATTGCATTTTGCATGATAGACCATTAAATAAAAGTCCTGCTGAGCTGAAACTCAACCACCTTTACTCACTATACCTGCCTTTAATCTATGTCCGTAGAAGACAGGAGTTAGCAAACTTAGCAAAGTTTCATGTTGTCACAAACTGGACAGTAAATCAACACTAGGATTTGATTCGGC